ATGTAATGATTTCCCTTTTTTCACTGGAAATAATTGTTTCCAAGTGAATTCCTTGGCATTTTATACATTCAAAGGTTTAATTTCAATAAACCGAATCAATAAAACCTGAAACAATTATCAGTTTTGCGTGGCGTCCTGTTGTTTATAATTTACTTTGATCCTGAATGTCGAAAAGCCAGACTTTTATTTTGAAGGAGCCAACTTGTGAGTGGAGTAAAAATAACTCCTCCATAGGCCTTTTCTGAGATAGCAGTTTGCATTGCATTGTGGTCTAGGTACAGCACAAACATCTTTTGTTCATGCTGCCAAATATGGTGTTGTTTGTGCTGAAGCTAGACCACAATGCACTATGATTTTGTATTTCAGAAAATGTCTATGCTAGATGCAGTTAAACTTGGTGGAGTTAAATCTACTTCAGAAAATACAAACAAAAAAGATCAGTTATATGAACTCTTTTAAAATAACGGTGAACGAAAGAAGTGATATGAAAAGCAAAAGGAGGTAAAATCCTTTTTATAAGAAGTTTGGGCCTGAAAACTGGACAAATGTAATAGCATGCACATGCACCAATTTGATGAAGTTGAACCTCTTCTTCTTTTCCCCTTAGAAATACTAGAGTAAGTCATTTACGTCACGGATAGGTCTTAACAAGTTCGTCGTGCCAGACTCGTACCCAGTCGTTTCTCTTACTCGCTTAACGGGTCGCGGTGCATCAAGAGAAGTCCGAACTACCACTTCCCTTGATCCTTTGCGCGCGAGAGTAACGGCGACTGGGTACGAGTCTGGTCTTTCGGTCTTGTGCTATTTTTTTTCAAAATTACTGGCATGCTTTAATGTAACTCGATGCAACTCTCAACACATTTTATTTAGAAAGCATTGGATTTTGTGACAAAACAAAAACGTTATTTTGACCAATGCACGTAGAAGTTTATTGCGTTCATTGATAACTTAAATCGAATACACTTAAATCGATCGAATACACTAATCGAATCTTGGAGAAGCTCGATAAAGGCCTTATGCACCACTTGGTGCGAAACAGCGCGATGATGATGATGATGATGATGATGAATCGAATCTGCATCAAGTTACCTGACTGACCTGACTGAGATAAATGTGTGCGTAGTAGAGCCGTAACTCGACAAGCGCGTAGCTCGTAGCGCTTAACTCGAAGATTATCCTCCCTTGGAGGAGTTAATGCGTGAAAGTAGGTTATTTTCGTATTTCTCGGTCATTGCACTTTTTATCTTTAAAAAGTTACTGTAGTTAACTGGTGGAAATACTTTAAAGTGAGATAAATCTACTCTACAATGTGAGCAGGTAATGTCAATAAAAAAATTACACCAAAAGGGGTTCAAAATTGCTCTTATAGGACTTAGGTGAAGAGGAGTCAAAACCACTCCCATTGCAGACGCAGTTAAAATTGGTGGAGTTAAATTTACTCCAGAAGAGGAGTTATTTCTTTACTCCTCTTTTGGAGTTATATCGACTCCTTGAAAATAACAGTAGTTTGATTAAAAGTCAAATTAATTCTTTAACTTTATTTTAATATCTCTCAGGTATATGAATAGGTAAGAAGGAAAAACGTTGTAAAAGTTGAAATACAATTATTTAGTCTAAGAATGGCGAATGGAAATTGCGAATCTTGAAACCATGAAAAGATATCATATCTTTGACATGTGAAGATATCACTGTTTGCATGGTGACACATTTTTTCGGCCAATTAGATCAATATTTATATAATAGATCGAGAGATCGATATGTATATAATAAATAGAACATTACAGGCCGCTTGGAAATACWAATTTTATCTCCTCGTGTTCAATTGATATCTCACTCGTTCGCTACGTTCACCCGATTGAACACTCGAAGATAAAATTAGTATTTCCGCGAGTCCATGTAATATCCTCTATACAACTTTTTGCTTTCGGGATAAGTTATAACTTATATCTTTTCAACGGACAAATCGCACAAGTTATTTTTTGTTATATTAGTGTTACACTAAAAAGTAGATTTACTCATGCAGTAATAAACAAATACAATAGGAAACAAAGTTGTATTTAAGTTTTGACTGTAGGTCTATTAACACATAACTATGAAATGTTTTATATCAGACAAACAAGTCTTGTTTACTCAACACTCAAACTGAAGAAATAAGACACACTTCCCAAGGCTTTTTTTTCTTTCTTTTTCATTAAGTTCTTAACATTAACGCCCAATGATCTAAATATTTAACAGTTCAATGGTTTTTCRACATAACCAATAAACTACCATTTATTTCAATACAACAGAATTATGAAATTTTGAAATAGAGCATTGACTCACGAAAAAAACTGTGTTGGTATTTTTAAAAATGAAAGTCGTCAAGAGCGTGTTACGAGAGAAAATTTTATATTGAAAAAGCGAAGTATGAGGTAATGTTATCTACTCTGCCGTGCGAATATTTTACGGCTTGTTAAACTGAAGTCTCCTAGGTCACGCCGCTAAACACTCTGATCTTCACATCACTGCACATTACATCATTTTCACGGCATTTACAGGTAACACACGCYGTTCAMCCAATCAGCGCTCGTAAATCACTCATTGACTTMATCTAGAAAGCATCAACATTCCTTAAGGGAAAAGTAATGAAGAACTTGATAGTAATATAGAGTGGACTTATCAAGTCATTCCGGCAGAGATTCACTGGATTGAAAGACGCTTYTTTGGTACGACGCATAGAGACGCTATAGAAGACTCTACATGAAGGACTATACCGTTTGTTTAAGCTTCCCACTTTCTAACACAGCAGGTATCTATACAAGTAAATTGACGATCCCGGGAACGTTTCTCTGTGAACTCAGCAGAGTCCTGCTAAAATGCCATATTCTTTACCTTCAAGTGCAATAACTTTAAAATTGAAAAGAAAAGTTTGAAGCGACAGAACGGGATGTCTACACATAAGCCWGCAGTACCACGTAAGTACCGTTTTTAGTTTAAATCTAAGATAAAATTCTCTTCCTTGCGGAGTAGCAGTTGTACAGGTCAGATTACAATCGTATAATTTGTTCCTTATTATCGTTTTGCGCAATTTAGTTCCAGCAAATTCGTTAAAGTTTATAAAATCGTTGGGTAATTACACATACTGAGAAAACATTTAGCGGTAAACATGAAAAACAAGTTTGCCGGCCATACATCTGTCAGTTAAAAAAAATGCACTTTATCGTAGCACAAAATGACGGTATTACAAAAAAGGTCTTTATGGATTCTATTTGAAAGAAAAAAGTAAGTTTATTATATTTCTCGCATTAAAACAAGTATACAAAATATAGACAACACAAGAAAATGTACAAACCCACTCAATTTTAAGCACTAGATTATTCCAGCAGTTTTATATTAAAGAGCTTAATCGCAAATGTACTAACGAAAATGCATATAATCAAAAGCAGAACAAATTCTTTATTATATGAACTAATATTCATTCTTAAATGAAGAACTAACGAGTGCATCCCTCGCATCCTGGATTTCGACAGTACCACCTGCTYTACTCTGCTGGTAACCGATTATATCACTTAAAACAATTATCACGGATCAAATGACCAMACTGGGGAAACTTTTCGCGCCTTTTTTCGACGCGCGCGCGCTTCCAACTGAATCTATATAGAGGAAAAAAAATCGTTATTTTTTCTAGAGTTACTTTAACTAGATTCATTTTAAATTCTCTTTGCTAATTATCTTAATACCATTGTTTATAATTAATTGTTATCATTGTTAAAATAAATATAATTATTTTGTAGCTGTTGTTTTGATATTTCCCAGGTATAATTTTTGTAAACTGAATTCATTCAGTACGTTTTGATTTGATTACTACAAACTACTGGAAAATGCTGCCAAAAACTTTATATTAAAACTAATTTAATGTTTATTGATCGAAAATAATTTGTTGTCGTTTTGGCGTCTATAATGTCAGCTGTCACCATCGTGTAAACTAAATSAAAATAAACGGATAAAATTATCAAAAATTGTTAAAAAAATATTTGATATTCTTATTCTTATTCTTATTATTGAATTTTACGCTTTTAAAACGGTTTTTTTTAAGGCAATTATCAAAGACTCAATGATGTACTTTGCTATAATCAATTTTCCAAAGATTGACGTCAAAGCGTCCAGCAATTTTGCTCTCCAACGTCACAAATACGGCCGGGATTTGCTCCATTCCTGGTAATATACGATTTAAACGATAGTTTGTCTTTTTTTCAGGGGACTATTGTTCATGATGCTGCAGCCCAAGAATTTACACATCGACCACAGCCGTTTATTAAATAAGCCTTAAAATGTTAGAGTTAAAAAGTCAGGGCAAAACATCTACCAAATGTTTATCATTTGCTAGTTGCTTTTGTCCCGCCATTTTAGCGATGAAAACTGGATTGAAAAGGTTAAAGAGTGACTCAACGGTAAGAAAGACAGAGTACTAATTAGTACTAAATTGTGAGTTAATTAAATCCGTGAAACAAAACTTGATTAAATATAAAGTGCGATAGTCAAATAGACACAAAATAATACAATGCAATTAGAACATACTAAGGTGTATTAGTCTAATGGCGATTGCAATGGCAACTGCTTGTAGAAAAAGGTAATGCTATTGCAATGACATTGGCAATAGAAACGGCAATGACAAAAGTAGTAGGGCAATTATTGACAATTCGCTGTGGAGAAATGGTGAAGTTGGCTTTTACTTCACGTGGGGGAGGGGGTAGTGGGTGCACATAATAATCAATATATCACGTTTTTTATGCGATTGCATTTTGCAATCATGAAACATTTATTTAAAAAAAAAATACGATTTGAATAGCCGACTTGCGAATTACGCATCAATAGTCACATACAAAGGAATCAAGACGAGGCGCCGTGCTTTTTTGTGAAAAATCTATTGTCTTTAGCACGGCGCCTCGTCTTGATTCCTTTGTATGTGACTATTGATGCGTAATTCGCAAGTCGGCTATTACGAAATGACATTCCAATGAAATGAATTTAAAAAATACTTCATTCACATGCAAAAGAATAAAGAAAAAAGAAAGAGGAATACAATCCCATTTGACGTACAAGACGATATTTTGTGATCAACATTTGTAATAGAAAAACATTGAAATACGGACAACKGATTAAGCATAATTCCAAAAACATCAATCGATTTGAAAGTCTTTATCGAAGAAAACGCTAATTAAAAAAAGCCTACATCATTCTGCATTCTTTTTCCGWGCACAACTTTTTTCTTCTTGCGCATGCAATCCTGTCCATTAACTGGATTAATTTGTTGGATTTTTCCAGATATCATGTCTATATTCATGTAAAGTAATTTACTGAGAATTAAAATTCTGTACTTATTTTTTTTCGTCGAGCTTTTCTGCATTTCTGCGTTGTTTACCACGAAAGCTACTCGATAAGTATTCGGCTATACCTCGTAGATTATTCGTTACGTATTCGGCTATACCACGTAGATTACTCGGTTAGTTTCCGGCTSCTTTGCCTTTCGTAACGAAGAAGCTAAAAAGAGACAAAAGATACGGTGATTATATAGGAATACAAAGAATAACAAAGACAATTGATCAAAATTCATAATGGTCATTTCAAAATATAACACCATGCTTGTTTTTGCATTGAAAACATGGCTTYCGTTCGCCTCGGTTTGAACTTCCATCCCCTCCCATGTTACATCTCACCAACGTCATTAAGTGAAAGAAGTAACAATTAACATTTTCCCAATTTTTTGTGTCATTTCGTACCTCTCGATATATGGTTCCTAAACACCAAACCAGCATGGGCACCATTTTTAGTCAGGAACACTTGAGCACTGGACCCATCTGGTCCCTTAACTGTTCGCACAAGTCCTTTATTTTTWAGGGTCTCCCTGATGCTCTGTGAATTGGACCCATCATTTTTTTGAATAGACATTGAAGGTGTAAGATGTCTGTTACGAGTACCTGCAATATTACCGACCAATKCTCCTAGTTTCCCGCTATTAACTCTRTTAATGTTGAATATATTGTCTTTAATTTTAACTTCGTTTTTATTATTATTCTGTCTTTCGTCTTCTATATTGTAACCACTTCTCTGTTTGTTTTCTGTAAAAAAGGCATTGTTTTCCATACTTAAATCATTGCCTTCATTGTTTTCATTGTTCTCTTTATTGTTTTCAATACTACTGTACCCATTGTACTCTCTGTCTTCCGAAGTAAAGCCATCATTCCTATTGTAATCTTTGTCTTCTGCAGTATAGCCATTGTTTCCATTGTTCAAGTCACTATTGTTTTCCGAACTATACCCATTGTTCCTATTGTTCTCTTTATTGTCTTCCATAGTATATCCATTCTTCCTATTGAACTCTTTGTCTTCYGTAGTATACCCATTGTTGCCATTRTTTTCTTTACTGTCTTCAGAACTATACCCATTGTTCSTATTGTTCTCTTTGTCTTCCGTAGAATACTCATTGTTCCTATTGTTTTCGTCTTCTGTAGTATACCCATTGTTTGCATTGTTTTCTTTACTGTCTTCTGAACTATACCCATTGTTTCGATTGCTTTCTTTGTCTTCCGTAGAATACTCATTGTTCAAATCATTTCCATTGTTGCTATCTCCGTTATAATCCTGTAAACTGCCTTGATTTTCCATATTTGAATCATACACAACATCATCACTTTTCCCCGTGACACTTTCAGCATCGCTGTTGCTTTTTGCRCCATCGTCATCATTATTATAACCCTTCTTTCTGCTATGYTTCATTTGGACACCGCTCTCTGGCGAGTCATAAGCTTTTTTACCRTGCTGCCGAGCTGGTGGGTTACCTTGAGCTGAATCAACTTGTATGTTGTATTCAATATCTCCCTTGTGTGAATCTCCATACATCTTTTGTCCTTCATAGCCAAAATCCTTATTCATATGGCTGTCGAAGGTGTTKCCCATATCATCGTTCTGTGTTTGTTGGTGAGGGTCCTGTGACGCCAAATCTGCTAGCTGTGTGTCATTTACATCCTGGCTTACTTTCTTAGTTTTTGGGTTTGTTTTGCTTGTATCGTCAGCAGTCTCTTTTGGAGAGATTGTTTCAGGAATCCCAACAGCTTTCGTAGGAGTATCGTTAGATGGTAGCGGTAAAGGCCCTGTGATAGGAGTAAGTCAATATTTAACAATTACATTCTGCTAGTTGTGTCGAAGAATTCCCTAGCAGCGTCACGCTTAGGGGCTTGACTAGAGGTGTACTAGGTATACACTCCTCAGGAAGCCCTAGTCTATACAGATGTGGTTTTGTGCCGTTTTTACATTGTTAATGACGTGGAACGATACCAAACCGCATCTTCATGGAGGAGACCTCATTCAGTATTTATAAAGCGCTTACCTCCCTCTGGTGGAACATTAAGGATATACATTTCCGGTCCGCCTTTGTTACCCTGCGGCCAATAGCGAGCCACGGTTATAAATCCATACTTTTTGCTTATTGCAGTACCAATCCCCACCTCGGACGTGTTGGACCAGATGATCTGGGTAAAGTGCTTGGTGACCGCCTCTGGTGTCAGTCCTGCACCGTTATCGAAGTCGTAAAACTTGACTTCGTCGTACCAGCGCTTAACCATCTCACGACAGAGTATGCAATTACCAACCATCGAGTCCTGGCACTTGGGGACAGCAGGTCGGAAGTACGCAAGGTTTTCGCCTTCGTTGGAAAATCAAAATGGAGTATTGTATAGTACATTTTACTGCATTTGTGACATCAAGATTGCAGAAGTCTGTCAAGATCTTGTAAAAAATAATTGAATGTATGCTCCCTCTTAACGGATCTTGTGAAAACCAACTTCGACTAGAGAATTTTGCATCGAGTGACTAGCGGCTGCCATAGCTTATCAATAAACAACCATGTGACAACTCGTTTTCAGTCAACAATGACTTTGCGCACTGACTAACCTTCGTTATTTTTTGCTAACTCTTCATCGTTATGTTTGACCTCATCTTTCAAAGCAAGCACATCAGCCCATTTCTGCGCTTGTCGAGTCAGCACCAATGACCAAGCTAACGGTGGAACACCGTGCTCGGCGCGATAAGTATTATGCGCATCGAGGCAGTCCTTTTGGAAGGCGTCCTCSGGCTCGTGATCTGCAGGGGGAAGAATTATTGTACGATGATAATCACAATTTATATACAAATAATCCGAAGGGAAATACAGGAAACAATTTTGCAACGGTTTATGGACTGAAGAGAAGGGAATAGATCGGCCATTGCAACTGCTACACTTGGATGGTCGTGATCCATGATCTTGAAGATTGCTTGCTTCCTCTATATGAAGATGACTTCTACAGGATCATCAGGAATTCCAAACGTCGGATGGGAGGGTTAGTCTACTAGACGATACTTCATCTACGCTATCAACTGAGGTCAATGTTCATCTTATTGTAATTGGCCATTTTGAGTAGTTTCCCGTTTTACAAATATACCACAATCTACTCAAGTTACTCAAGATCATTTTAAAACAACTTTTTAGGAATTACAAAGGCTTAGTCAAGTTTAATCAATACCGTTCCTTGTCTAAACGGCATCAACTCTAATGGTTTTGCAGCGTAGAGGATGAATGGGTCAATTGATGGGTGGAAGAAAGGTCGCCGTCCAAATTAGAAATGGAACGGTGATTTATTGTGACAATTTTATTGACACTGATTCTAACACAAAAATGTATTTAACAAATCTTTGACATATAAAAATAAATTGAATTTGCTGCAACAATGACGTCCAAAATCAAATTTTCAATGTTATAACCACAATTCCGCGCTTCCCCTTTCCTTGCATTCAGTACGCAAGTTATTGTAGAGAGAATAGCAAAATGCCGTAGCGAATCGAGCACTGATTTTCATCACTTTATAGCATTTAGATAGCATTTTGATTCGTATCAGCAAAAACATTGAATACCAATAAAGCCATTATAGTTTCACTCTTGAATTAAAGGTGAAAAGATGTTCTTTCCAAGCTTGTTTACCAAGTCTGACCTGCTCTAGACAATTGAATCATTTTGACTTAAATTTGATAAGCAATAGTGCGRTTATAACCAAAACAAAACCAATGGAGTCACAGCAAAGCAACCAAAACAAACCCGTCACACTACAATTAGAATTAACACTATTTACAAATATAACTTACCTCTATCGATTGTATTAACGACAAACGGGAGAAGRAGRRYAAYAAAAATCCTGTTCATACCAAAACCTACTAAAAATACAGAGCCAAAGAGTGAAAAAGAAACGTTTAAGGCACAACAGCGCTCTCTTTACAAAAAGACCTTGAATTTCATCTTGTGCGACGGGTGGCCGCGGGAAATTCATTTTTTATTGATGTGCTAAAAATGGCGCTTTGCTCTCATTTAGTCAGTATTCGACTTGACGGTTAAAACTATSACATCTCGCGGGGAAGTTTATTGAAGAACATCACAAATCTTATTTTGTGTGCGCTGGTATACTTTTTCTACTAAAATTAAACTTGTTACTTCGTTTTGATTTGGAGTTTTATTTTGGCAACAACCACGGGTACCGGTCTGAATTGTCGTTCAAAAGTCAACTTTAAAGCTATGGTAAATACAAAAATTAAATAGTGCAACAATTTTGATTTTATAAAAGACATATTAGAATTTACACCAGTGTTGTATAGAACAGAATAGCAAACATTGAAGGCATTCGGCACAGGTGTGTCCAAATGTCCAAATCTTGTTCGGCCCTGCCGGCACGGATGTCTGTTCACTGTCACTTAATTAAAAAAAAAAAAAAAAAAGAAAAAAAAGAAAACAAAACAAAAAACGATATATGCATATTAGAGTGGAGGAGGCCTTGAGCTTCTAAATAGCATTATAAGTATTTTTTTCCGTGCTAGAGAGGCGAAGAGTACAATGATGTTAGTCACATATATTCGAAAATGTCAATTACCAAAACGCAACACCTCCTAACCCAAATTCCGACAAACCCCAACATCAATCTACAGTCACGTGACAATGATACTATAGCAACGGTAGGGAGAGACTGGATCCTAGTCAATGATAACCAGTTATCGTTTATAGACCCCAAACTGGTGATTTTGCCATTAACAATAACATAGAACTTTCTTGGACAGGTGGCCATTTGCTTAAAAAACATTTCTAGAGATGATCTCTAGACTGGAAGCTTTTTGCATTTTTATTTCAAGAAATAGAGGCAACAATCATGTGTTATCAGTTACTTTGCAATCTGCTGTGGTTGGCAAACAGGATTTAATTAAAGCTGTCAGCATTTAGCTAACTGGTGGAATATCTTTCGTTCCCTACCCCCCGAAGTTTTTAATTGAAAAACATATAGAACCCAGTATGAAAGATCTCGAATCGTTATAGAAATTGTGTTAAAAAAGTCTTTTAAGTGGAAATTAGCTCCAGAAACCCTCTTAAAAATGTCAAAAAGGATTCTATCAATATACTGCAASTGGTCTTTAACAATTTGGCTGAATGGATGTTTAATTAAACATACTTAAATTGTTGACTTTTAAGTTGTATTGCGTAAATTCTTAAAGTAATAATACTCTACCAACAAATGAAATAATGAAATTGAAATATGATTAATAATAAAAAATACCACTTAGAATACCTTAAAAAATAAATGATTTTTGCAAAATAAAAATTTCACAAAAAAAACCTGTTACTAAAACACTGTATAATTGCCAAACTTCATTTCTTCACTGATATTGCCCATAATTTTCATACCCAGAAATCGGCCATAACCACCGAGTTTATCAAGCTAATTGATCTACACTGTACTACGATTAAACCTGTATCAGTCTACTCGAAATGCAGGCTGTATTACGCCGAATTTATTTCTGTGCAAGTTGTTCATCGTTAGAGCATGTTGTTTTGATTTTTGTTCGTAAGATCATGATCCTACTTCGGCAACATACATGAGAATGATCGTCCTTGGCGTGGCTACCAAGTGGCAAATCTTCGTACGCGAGTCGTCGTCGTTGTTTACCGATAGCTCCAGGTACATGTCATTGTTTGTGCCATTCAATTACTTATTAATCAGACAGTTATAGCCTTTGTTCGAAGTAAGGGCTCCGAGGATAACTGTTTCGGAGGGGAAAAAGTCGCTTTTTAGGGGCCGTTATCTTTATATTAGAACAAATATGTGGAAATTGTGTTTTTTACTTCTAGTGGCGTGTCTTTGTATCGAGGCCAAAGGTAAGTGTTTAAATTGAAATGGGAGAAAGTACTTGTAAAGATGATGTAGTTTTATAAAGTGATGAAGTATAGATAATCGTTAGAAGACTTGAAAAGATAAATTGAAGATAAAAATGTGACAAGATGATATGACAGACTACGACAGAAAACCGTTTACAAAATGGAAGCTACCAACATACAGAATCCTAAAGAATTATGAGCTCGAATCAAATTGTGATCAAAGGTTTTTMTAGCCAGCAAAAAGCCACGGAAGAGATCAATTAAGTAAATTAAGAAAATTGAATTAAATAATTTCCAGAATAACKGAAGGGAATTAATGTAATTACAYACGTTTACATCATCAAAGGAGAGAMATTTTTACATCATAAAWTGTTGTAAGAAAATTGTTGTATTTAATGATATGTTATTTGCGCAGGGCACGCAAAGCAGAAAAAACATGATAAAGCGGAAAGCTCGGCCGATGACATTGACTTTGAAAGTAAGTCAGAAATGAATTCCGTTATGGGGCGGAACTTCAAGATGTCCGCGGTCAAGAACAGTTATCAAATTTTCAGCGCTTTTAGGCGGGCTATAAAACATTAATACAATCACCCTGTCAGTCCTTGAATAACAAGATTATCTCTGGGTATATCTCTGAATTATCTCTATACTTTGGAAGATAAATTTAATATTTGGACACTTTACTCAATGACAGTTTTCCATTGAATACCATTTGCTTTTTTTTAAAACATCATTTCTTGCTGATGGCGTTACCAACTCGCCATTACTTGTTAAAGATACAAAATGGCGATATACTCTCTTTAAGTAGAACTATAGTCTTCCAAAAATTGAATCGTTATCAAAGTTAAGCGAGTAAAGTTCTACATTTTACACCAACAAGTCAARCACTTTATGAAATTGGTATTGATTTCTCGTCGCCACCGCGTTTTAAACGGTTAAAAATTCTACGAGACGAGGCTCAACGATTTAGCGATATTAAAAGTTTTTTTTAATGAAATGAAGTCTTTCACTTTAGGGTTCACAAAGAAAAAAAAAAACAGAATTTTACAAGAATTTCACTGACCTAAAGAAAAAATGTTAATATCACAACATGGTGTTGAAATATGACGAAGTTTTGTTTTTCAAAATATCACTCRACAACAAATATTTATTTACTGCAGACACTCAAAGAACGTACAGAAATGAAACATTTGTTTTCATCCAGAAAAACTCTACTGTACTTATTTTTCGCAAACATGACACTGAAAACTACCGAAAACTTACTCAAACTGTACGTTGTGTTTTTGACATTGTTGTTATAAATAAAATTGGATAACATAACAACCTACGAAAACCTTAGCTCTAAGAAGCACTTCTATGTAAGGTAATCTTCTGAAACCCGTGAAATAGTATTATTGTATTCAATGATAGTTAATTGATTCTTCTGTCTATGACGGACCACGCGGCGGCCATTTTGTCATGGAGCAAATATGGAAAAATGCTTAACGTGGATTTTGGCGTTCATTAGCAATCAATTCATCACAAACCAATTTATTAACAGAATCGTTTACCTYTTACAAGATGGTCATGAAATCTTGAGCAAATACAAAAAACTCTGTCTACAGTTACAATTTTGAGTTTGACCCCGGAAGGCCCAAAATGCATAGCGGTTTAAGATTTCACAAAAATTCAGATTCTACACGGCACAGTTTTGGTAGTTCCTTCGCGTCCATCTTTCTACGATAMATTTTTCATGTGAACTGGATGATAATCAGCGCCATTATAGACTTAAAAAAAAGACTTTTTTTATATTCATTCGCTAGCAAATGCCGCTGCATCGTCGATGCACTCCAATGTCTACACATGACGATTTAAATACAACTGATCTAGTTCGTACATCGTATTTCATGTTGTTATAAAAAACTACAATAATTCTGCTCTTTCCTGTTTCTTGYAGGTGAATTTGACGATGGCAAAAGAGATGCTATAGCTAAACCATGTAAGTATTCACCTTATAAGGGCACTCAAAGGGAAAGTGAGGGATGAAACATTTTTTATAGTTATTACAATATTCTTTTTTTTTCTTTTTCAGATGATTATTCACAATACCAAACACAATATAATACAGCTACACCAAACCAAGCTGCAGGTAACAACTGATGAGAAATAAACGCTTACTATAGACTCATATAGTATTGATATAACACTGGCTATGATTGGCTTAGAGGCATGTCACAATCTACTGACAGTACGTGATCTATCATTGGCTAGTTCTCACTAGTATTCGAACTATGATTGGTTAGAAACCATCACATCAAATCATTGATATACACAGTGTTATATCAAAATACCAACTTGATTATATTTTAAGATATAGTTCGATGTGCACTAAATTTATAGAGTTCATTTGCATGAAATAAAACCAAAAGTTTTTTTTAAAATGCACACTTTTTTTCATATAAAAAATAGTTGACAATTTTTAGTATACATCACCAATATTAGTACACATACAAATCTCACCACTAACACCATACAAAGAACTCCACAAAGAATTTCTACGACTAAATAACAACATTGGAATCCTAGCTGACTGAGACGAAGCTTCCGCCAACTTCTTTGCTTGACTTACTTACTTCTAACCGATCTTAACTGCCTCCCTCCTTATACTGGCTTACTGCATCAACCTTACTTAACTGCTAATCTATCTACCCTTATATCCCTAGCAAGCAAGCCATTCTAAAATGAGCTTTTTGAGCTGCAAGCCTAGTAATCTCCTCTAGAACGAGCTGCTAATAGCTCTATTAAATCCTTCTAAACAAAGCTGGACATAATCCTAATAATCAAGTTCAAAATTGAGCTTGGAACAGCTCTAGTCCATTCTTGACAAGACAATCTAAGCCTTATAAAACCCTCTAAACGGGTATAGTTGGACGTTGCTCTAATAAACACTCTAGACAAAACTGGACGTGACAATAGCAAAAGTTCCTGAAATTAGCTGGACGTAGCCCTAGTAAAAACGTCTATAATAACCCGGCTAACAACCCCTTTAAAAAGAGCTGGACTAAAATAGCTGCAGTAACTATTCCCTTAACAAACGCTTCTACAACGGAGCTGCAAACAGACACATAACAGAGCGCTGCACAACATGCGAACGAAAGCTTYACTCTTTGTAATACAGCTTTGACGAGACAGTGTCTAGCAAACTTACAATCCTTACAACGATCACTGTGACCCAACGACTAAATACATATCGTTAGGATGATGGCTTATAAGACACTAATCTTATTTTCATTCTCTCTTTCAGCCTATACTTCCTCTTCAACGAGCTCCTACCCTGCTGCAACGTCTTCAGATAGCTTCTCTGCAACGCAACGTGCAGCCGTAGCAGCTCCACAGCCAGCGGCTGCCCCTGCAGCCTCCCCATCTCCATCTCCAGCTGCCCCAGCTCCTGCTTCCCCAGCTCCAGCTCCAGCTGCCCCAGCTCCTGCTCCAGCAGCTCCACAGCCAGCGGCTGCCCCTGCAGCCTCCCCATCTCCATCTCCAGCTGCCCCAGCTCCTGCTCCAGCTGCCCCAGCTCCTGCTCCAGCAGCTCCACAGCCAGCGGCTGCCCCTGCAGCCTCCCCATCTCCAGCTGCAGCTGCCCCAGCTCCTGCTCCAGCAGCTCCAGCATCCCCTGCTGCCGCCCCTGCTGCTCCTGCAGCCTCCCCAGCTCCAGCTCCAGCTGCTCCCGCGCCTGCCCCAGCTGCAGCATACCCTGCYCCTGCTCCTTCTACGGCTGCGCATGCGTCAAGCCAGTCAAGGTCTGACTTCCCTTCAGCTTATCAACAATCATCGGCATCATCCTACTACACCGCCCCACCAGCACCAGCACCGGCTCCTGCACCTGCTGCCTATTACTACAGGCAACCATCCACCGCTACAGCTACTGTAGCTGCTGCAGGTATCGTCGTGCTTACGAATAGAATACGCATTGAGTCGTTCAATAAATAGTCTTACTCGGTATAGATAGGACTAAGGATGTAAAAAGGACAGCTACCTTTCAAGATGGGGCACGTAACCGCGAAGGAGACTATTGTAGCTTTAAATTTAGTTATTGAAAGCAAGGCTTGTAAAATAATCAAAAGACTTATGTATTTCTTTCCGTATTGCTCGTACAGCAGGCAAATTARTGCTACTCAATGCCTCTTTATTCTAATCAACATTGTTGTTTCTCTTAACAGCTTCTCAAGCTGCCAGTTCTACCCTAGCTTACACAGGTTAGTTAAGATATAGCTATCGATGAATAAATAGTTTGTATTTCATGAACACTAGGGTAATAACATCCTCTTTATAGAGTAATTTTCATTGAATTTGACAATAAACTTTCTGAAAAAACTCAACAATTAACAGCTTTTAAYCACTAACATTTATACTAATAATTCTTTTATTTTGAAATTCAAGCTCTCAAGAAAGGAAAATGTGAGTTAACTGACAAGCTTAATTATTGATGTTTATAAGAATAATGTTGATGATGATGCTAATAGCGCTAATATTAAACTAATATCAATTATTAATAATAATGATTATGATGACAACCAAATGATTATTATGTTAATAACGATGATAAGCTTCAGAGATCAATGTAGCATCTTGACGGATAACCGAGCCTTTGCATTTGAGCTTGAAATGACTGCTACATTCACAGAATAGAAAGTATCCATGACTGCAGCCTCAATTCCTGTCTCGCTTCGATGCAAAGGCTAGGCTACCTTTCAAGATGGCGCTGTGGACATTAAAATGGTGACATCGCACTGCAATTCTTTATGACTACACACACATGGTTAAGAAAGATTATCCAAAATTGTAATCTAATTTGAATATCTTCTAATTTATTTGCAGCTGCCTTAGGAGATAAAAGTAAGAAAGAATTTGACTTGTTTTAGTGTGTTTACTACTATTTTAATAATACTATTTTAGGTCTACTCCGGTCCAGAAAGTCGCCTTAAGTCGCCGCAAATTAAGGCAATTTGGATGTTAATTAGGTGTGGTCCCTTGGCGAATTAGAGCGTCTTAAGGCAATTTTAGGCATTTTTCTGGCAAGGAGAAGGCCTTATTTTCGCTTCTTTCCATGTGGTGAAATTCTTACAGCTTATATTTTGTAAGGAATAATTATGTATGTGATATCGTCATATACAGATACTTGCTCAGATGACAAACGTGCCGACCATTTCTGCAGTAAGGCTCACAACCCWTGCTATTGTGAAGAGAATCATCATTTCATGTACAACTACTGCAAGCGTTCTTGTAATTGGTGTTCTGATATGGGAGCCACTGGTAAGTAAAACATAACAAACAACTAAACCAGTACCAAAACTAAACCGAATCGACGAATGCACGATTGAGCCAAAAAATGAAAGAAAAATTGAAAAACGGACGAAGTGACGAATGGGGAAATGAAATGATCAACGAACCAGCAGACAAAGAAACGAACAATTCGAAAAATGAAGGAACGAATCGACGAAATGAAGAATGAACGAGCGGACCGAAAAAATGATCGAAGATACGAATGAGCGAACGAAGCAAACCGAAGAATGAACAAGTGAACCGAATAAGAAACGAATCTACGAACGAACGTGCGGCCGACGAAACGAACGAACCAACGAATGGACGATAGAAGCGGAAACCAACGAACCAACGAATGAAAGTATTATCGAGTCGAAAACACGTTAACCGAAAGGAACTGTTCAAAAAATAAGACGGTGTGGTTCAAATAAATCGTGACCTAACTAAACGCTTATTCCTTTTCTAGCTGGACATAGATTCTGGCGTATTGTAAACTCTGCCCTACTTCCACGATCATGGATCATCAAAGAGATCGAGTTCTACACCGACAAACACGCCAAGAAACCTATTAAGGTCAACCCAGCAAAGGCCTATGCTAGCACAAGCTATCCTGGTTACTTTGCTTCTAATGCTTTTGATGGYAAAAAGGATACTTACTGGCTTCCTGAAGGATGGTATGAAAGACAACCTGGTCTTGACTATATTGGAATGGAGTTTGATCAGCCCGTAAGTACAAATTATAATAAAAATGATGGGAACTAGCGGCAAACTAGTCGGTGTTTCTAAATAAACAGTTGTGTAAAAAGATAAATTTAACACCGTAAAAAAAAGTATGTGAAATAACTTACTGACGTTTCGGACGTTAGTCCTTCGTCGGAGTAAAGGCGAATTATAATAATATAAATATTAATAATAATAATGATAATGATAATAATGATAATTATAATGATGATGATGATGATAATAATGATAATAATGATGATGATGATAATGATAATAATGATAATAATTTTAATGATAATAATGATAATGATTTAATCTACCATAATACTGTGGTGTTTTGCTTTGAAAAAAGCAATCATAAAATTCTCAGGAAATCTTAAAATTTACATAAATGATATAAAAATTAGTTATACGAATTAATTACATATAATAATAATAAACATATAGCCACCAAAATGTTCTCAAAACAGATGAGTGTTGAGACTAGCTTTTAGCGTGTCCGCGCCATGCACATGCCTGCTAGATTAATCTTTGATGTAGCAAATAAGTAGTGTCTCTGGTATAGTTGGAGTCCCCAATCGCTCATAGAGACATGATATACCTCAGATGCTCAAGAAAAAGCTAACTTCCATTTTTAGGTKTCAATTGGAGCCGTCAAAATCACACACCAATCAAACGAGAAAAATGCGACCTCTACAAAAATGTATCTTGAACAATCTGATTTCTACGAGAATAACTACTTTAAAGTTTTCAACATGGAAAATCCAAGGAAGAARGAAGTCAAGAAATACAGCTACATCAGTAAGTAAAACAAATATACATCAAATTAAAAACACGTTTTCGTGCAAGAAAGATGATGTCATCGAAGCTAACACCGAAAGAGATCATGGGTTATCAGAAAAAAAATCCTTAACTTTGAAATCATTCATTCCAGATTGYCCAATCTACTGGCGTCGATACGACACTGGAGACAATGTCTACTGTTTAAAGACACTTGCCGAGTTCCTAACATGGCAACAGGCGAGAGACAAGTGTGCTACGTACGGCGCAGAACTTCTAAGCATCGAYTCTCCAGGGGAGAATATGTTTGTCAACAATGAACTCAGGTTATGTGGGTAGGTCAACTTCCTTTTTGGATAAATGTTTGGATTTGGCCGTMAACTAGAAAACCTTTYTGCGTTYGTATCATTTTGAAAACCAGTGACGCAATCTCAAGCCCATTTTTACAGGTCTCAGTGKCATATTAAAAGTTAGTCGAGCCTTTACAAAGAAAGGGGTAGTAGTTAAGCTTGCAATGAAAGATACCTGGGAATAATTGCCTTTGGCGTGAATAAGTTATCTATCACTRCAGGCTTAATCGTCTTCTCYTTTCCATGCAAAGACGCAGCTATCTTTCAAAATGKCGTATTCTAAAATATATAAAAAAATAAAATTTTCAATGTCCAATGCACCTTCTTAGGCCTATTGAATATCTAGCTACTCTCCTACAGAGAATCTAAGGCCCTTGAGGCAGGGTATCCTAGAYAGTCGAACCAAACTCTTTTCTTTTTCCTGGATGATTTAGTTAGGAAGATGCATGACTCTAGAAAGGGCTATGAGGAGTTTATGGAGCACCCTCAAGTAAATAGCCTTAAGGGTACCTAAACTTTTCAGCAGTTATCATGCTGTTCCCCCCTGCAGAACTGCCTGCTCGAAACGCTTTAAATCTAGAGTATTTGCTTGCTAATGTGATTTTATTTCAGTTTCACATGGCTTGGACTTAACGACATAAAAAATGAAGGGAACTTCACATGGAGCGATGGTAAACCCATGACTTTCAAATCATGGGCTGGAGATGAAAGTTACTACGAACAAGACGATTACTTGAACTCCAAACAAAACTGTGTGGCAGCTGCGAGAACTGGCGAATGGAGGCCATTCCATTGTGACGACAAGTTTTACGCTGTCTGCAAGATGAAGCTAAGTACGTGAGATATGAATGCTTATTCAAACAMTCTATTCTTGTAACTTAATCCAACACCATCAGACACCATTGCCGAGGCCATCATCTTTGAAATAGCCTGCTAACAGGAGTTCGTTCCTGCTCGAGGGCCGAGAAGGAATGGGKAGGAGGAGCGACCCCATCCTCCTCCCCATTCCTTCTAGGCCCTCCAGCAGGAACGCCTGTTTAGGCCGATTTAGAAGGTGCAACCTTTGCCTACAGCTATCGCATGCAACATGCCTAAGTCATCCTTACGTGGCTACATCTGTAGTAGGGTTATCGAACAATTGTTTTTTTTCTCTACGACAGTTGTAGCCATGTTGTAAAGATGACTTAGGCATGTTGCATGCGACAGTTGTAGGCAAAAGTTGCACCGTCTAAATCGGCYTTTAGTAGGCTATCTTTGAAACGTTATCAAAACAATGCATGAGACTGTTTCTAGGAATTGYAGTTAGAGGTAGCGAAGTTTAAATGGGTATTGCTAATGTATGGTATACCCTTTTGGACGACAATATCTAATATGTAGACCGAAAGAACATAACCAACAAATTACYGAGTAAACAAGCAAGGAGGGATGGTGGGACTAACAAGCAACTTATACTCAAACACAGAAGCGAGTACGAAAAAAAAAATTAAAAAATTCCATGAAAAAGTTGGCTAAATCAAGCGGTACTTTCTTGTTCTGTTTGTGTGTTCTTTCCATATTATTGATGGTGTTACTGGTGTTAGCAAGRTTTACCCAAAGAAGCTCACGTAAAAATGATTGATTGATATAGAGGTTCCAGATGAAGATGATGACATGGAAGAGAAAGGTCATTATCACCACGACAGAGTTTCTAAGAAATCCAGCAAGGGACACAAGAAAGAAGAAGATGAAGACGACGATGAAGATGAAGTCTCAGGTGAGAGAACAATTTGGGTTTCGAACCCATGGCCTTTCATATAATTGTTAAACGCTCAGCCAAAGAGCTACTGGAGTTGTACAGTTATCTAAGGCCTTTTATGTGGTGCAATGTCGGTGTGTTAACAGAGATTGACAYCAGCGTCTGAAATACTTAACAAAATAGCGACAAATCGTAAGAAACGGCACTTACTTTGACCATTTGTTTGTGAAGTGAAAGTARCTTCATTTTGGGGCAAAACAAATATTTAGATCACTTGAAAATTTSAAATGCTCTGTTCTCCCAGACGAAGCTGTATCGCTACTGATTAATCGCGAGGATTTTACTGTACTAATTCGATTAGTGTAGGAACAGAATATACGAATCTTTCATTATATGATGATAACAAAATGAGAAAGCGATTAACGCGATCACATTTATGAATTCAAAAACAGCACCATGATTCCACCGTTAGAAACATTAGCTGATGTTTTTGTAGGTAACACTGACGTCGACCTCACAGCTGAAGACACAGATAGCGAAGACGCTCTCAAAGAGATCAAGAAGAATGTCCAAAAAGCACAAAAAACAGTGAGCCACAAAAAGACCAGCGAAGATGAGGAGGACGATGAAGAAGAAGAAGAAGACGAATCTGGCTCCGGCTCCGAAGACGACAACGACGACAAACCAAAGAAAACCAAGAAGCACGTTAAAGGAAGCAGAAAGGAGGAGATTGGACAAGTTGATGACTTCTTCGATCTGAAGCACTGAATATAGTGAACTAAAATGGCTGACCGACCAYGGCGAATGTCGCCCGCATTTGTACGATTAAGTTTGTTATATTTCTAGTCTTGATAAATATAAATACAAAGAAAACGCCATTTTTAAACAAAAATTATCGAGATGAAATACTTCCTTAGGAAAGAKATAGTTGCGTTCTAGTAAATGTAATATATTTCCTCAGCAAAAAGACTCGAAAATTCTATTGCTTTAATATTATTAATTTTTGTGCGTAAAATAAYAACTCAGATCCTGGWGACGAGGCAAATGGTTCACTGASAGTAATAATAAAGAAATTKTCGATAWTTAGAAAATTGATCGTTGATGTGTATAARAAAWTATTATCACTCGCAGTGAACTATGGGTATGACGTCACGACCTCTCAGAGTCAGCTTCGACTTGGCAAACAACGGAAAACATATTATTTTTCTGGTAAGTTTGTTCAACACATAATTCCTGGCAGTAAATACTGTGAAGGGCATGAAAAATCAGGCCAATTCGCAGCTTTCTCGTTCTAGTTTTTTTCATGATATGAATTTTAATGAAAATATTTTGTCCTAAAGGTAGTTCGCTTACAATTACAGAAAGCGGAATAAGAAATATTTTGAATAATGTAGCTTTATTTCAAGGTTGATTGGAATTTAAAGTGGACAGTTCTTTATTGAATTAAATAAACTTTACTCAAAAACTTTAATTGAACAGTTTGTATTTATTCTTAGAAACTAAATTTCGCCCTTAACCAGAAATATAGCTTAAAACAGCTTTAGTAAATGTACTAGAGATGTTTACACTGACAACAAACTGAGAAAAAAAAGTTTTTTTTTGTCATTGGACAAAACACGTGATAGACTTTTAAACCACAGTGTTTTCACAAAACTTTCAAAAAATTTAGTAATTATTTTGTTTAATCACCCCTGCATTGCACTATTTATCTCTATTTGGTTAGTAATCATGCTTTTAGCATTAAGCAGTCTACAGGGCATCTTAAAAATTAATAGTCGTTACTGAATGCATTTTGTCTTCAACGTGGTCATCATCATCATCATCATAAATCACAACACCTAGCAACCATRGTTAACTTTTTTACCTTAGCAACGAGCATAATACTACAGCGTGATTTTGCCAATATGAATCAGTTCCAGCATGAATTATTTCATTGTTACCTTGGCAACGCTGACCACAAAACATCGTTACCTTAGTAGCTTAGAAACAGCTCTATGTTTTTTATAAGCCCTCGCTTAGCGGATAACGTCGATAGTGTCCCAGAGGTCCCTTCATAATACTTGGATCAGTCACCTTACATGTGGTACTTGGATCTACGGGAAGAATGCTGGTGATGTACTTCTCRAACTGCGCAAGCGCACACGGTGACTCGTCACAATATGGTGGTTTGATCTCCCTGTCGCTGTAGACAATACGAACAGCATACTTGTCGGACAACCGGTCGGATTTCGGGGTTGTACTTTGAAAGAGCTCAAACCTTAAAACTGAGGCGTAGGGCGGCCACTGTCCATCGCAAATATTGAAGGCGACCAACATTGGGAAAACTAAAAAGAAAAGAAAAAATTAGTGATATATGATGAACAAGTTAGTTAAAATCAAATGAACACATTTTTTTCTAAATAAAGTGTGCCAGAAYAAGTATTTTGGTCTGCATTGTTTTAACGTTTCCATAGCGGAAACACTGGTCCACACTGAGAAGTCCTGTCCAATCTTAATAATTGGGTAAAAATCGGATTAATTGAGGAAAAGTAGTGTATATCTCATATACTTTTTGACGTGCAGTAATACCAAGACAAGATGAACAGCACTGAMGAGATCCCAAATGTAGAAATGCCACCAATATCATGTTTAAATGGTTTGGAATATCGATTTTGAGAAAGTACAGCGTCCATATTCAAACATATTTTTTTAATGTGCATCAATATTTTATTGAATTTCTTTTGGTCAGTTTTTCAGAAATAAATATAGATGAAAAACGTAATCAGAAGGCTTTCGTGAGGTTTTGGTCGCCTTGAAAGTTTATTTAGACGTACTTCTGCACCTCATTAGGCATATTATAAATCTTATTATACAGCAATAATGCACAAATTATGATCTTTTTTGCTTATATATTCCAAGTATGTATAAAATATGTCTTTTCAGAAAGTACTAGAGTCAGCAAAAAAAATATTGGCAATGATATCTTATAATTTCTGATATGTTTCATATATATTGGAATATATGAGCAAAAAAGATCAAAATTTCTGCATATTGCTGTATATGTGTGTTGATGGTCATATCTCAATCTACAACCTTTTGCAATTGAATGAAATGAATATCAGTCAAAAATATAGACGAGGCAGGGAGAGAACTTATGTTTTTACCGGAATCACGAAATAATACGCGTGAAATTACAAGAATTTTTGGTTTGGCTATTTTGAAGATTTTTTTCACTTAACTATTAAAAAAAAACTTTTTAAAATAAAAGCTTTGCGTTCAACATCTTGATAATAAACATAAATCAAAGTTAAATCAAGAAAATCTTATCGATTCAAAAACTCAGTTACATGAGTATGTAATAATAAACTTTATTCCATGTACTTTATGTATGTACTTTATACTGTATGTATGTAACTTTATGTATGAGGTCCAAATGTATGCCTGCTATTTGTCTTTGTCTTAAGAACTATTCAAGTAAATTCCTCAGCAAACATGTTTCCCGCTTTGGTTTTTACCGCGAAAAGGTCTATTTAGTTATACCAAAAATCTTCGTGAAAACGTGATTGAAATTTTTCTTGGGTTGCCGCTTTGCGTTTAGAGCAAAAACGTGACAATCCTTTATTTTTTAATGGAAAACTATAAAATGAGGATGTAAAGCTTCCTTTAAAATTTTCTTAATGAATATTGGCCTTTTAATTGCGTCAAACTGATTACAATGCCATGTAAACTTGCACTTCGATTAAGTAAACCCCATTCAAGGATGTTTCTGTTTGTGCCTGACAAATCTTCTTACACGATACCCTTTTGTGTCCAAAACACAAAGTCTACTAAACTCATGTTCCTCAATGAGATATCGAGGTGTCGAGAAACTAATGTCTTCCGAAAAAATTACCGTTGGATGGACATGAAACAATGTTTCATAACATCGAACAGTCCGGATGGAATTATAAAACACAAAGAGAAATCCATGTCTTTATTCTTCTTGGTAAAAAGGCCAGAYGGCATCAGAGAAAGTGAAAAGAGACGCGTCACATCGCCAGAAGAAAGAATATTTTATCTAAATGGAGACAGTGGTAGAACTCTACCTTTTAGTTACCTAAAATTKCTAGGCGAGAGATTGAAGTTGAAGCTTTTCTGTTTGTTGTAACGAGATTCATTGTAACCCTGAAGATGACCGCGTAGGTAGAAAGCTCGGTTTTATTTTATTTCATTAAACACTAACTAAGGTTGATGTAGCAAAGTACAATATGAACTATAATCTGTAATTTTAGTTATTTATACATCTACTTGAAAGAACGTTGAGTACTGGACAATGTGGTAGTACATATAGTGTATTCCAAGCAATGCATCGTTTCTATCGGATTCCACGTTAGAAACGTAACAAAATGACAATTCTAATCCAAATTGCTTTCTATCGATGGTTCAGAGCTGGCATAGAAACAAATACATCCCCCTTTAGACCGATTATACGACAAGCAACAATGCATTTCGGTATTTGAATACACTGATATCAGTACTCCACGCTTTTTAAAATAGGCTGGAAAACTCACCCATTACCCAAAGCTAGGGTATAATATAGAGGATATTACACGGTCGCGCGGAG